TTCAACCAAGGGACCCAGAGACCATGCTATGTACTCTTCAACAACAATGGTCATAAATGACTTCCATCAAGGTCCGGTCCAACAGTCAAGAGACCTCCAGAAGGTTTCACGAAGCAGTCCCCAAACAATAGCATCAAAAACCAACAGTTGCTTCCTGCACTGATTTCGCACAGGAGCCAAACCTATTTGGATCATAAAACCAATCCCCTATGGTAGGGGTCCCCAACCTTTTTCACCCCACTGAATGGCTGGGAAAGGTGCAGCACCCCCCAAGCTCGTGGGCATGTGCAAACGAGTGAGTGCGAATGAGTGTGCACATACAAACAATTGGTGGTGTGGTGCTTATTCACACTCGATCACTGGTACACATTCCCCACCAAGGGTTCGGTGCTTACGTGGGGTGTGCGCGTGCTTGTGCGCATGCACAAATGGCAATGCGGCACTCACACGGGCGCATGCAGCATGCGTAAATCAGCTGTGTGGGGGTGAATGCATGCACGGGGGACGGGAATTCTGTTTCCGCGGCCCGGTTCGGCTCAGGCCATGGACCAGCACCAGGCCACGGGGGTTGGGGACCTCTAGTCTAAGGAATGGAGGCACAGTGGTTCCCCCAGGCCAAAGAAGTTCCGAGTGCAAAGGTCAGTGCAGAAGCAGATGGCAACAGTTTTTTTTGATAAGAAGAGAGTTCTGCTGGTGGACTACCTCGAACAGGGTTCAACCATCAATGCAAAATATTACTGTGCTTCATTGACAAAGTTGAAGCAAAACATCAAGGAAAAATGTCGAGGAAAACTCTCCAAAGGTGTGATCCTGTTGCATGACAATGCCTCATCACTGCAGGTGAAATAATGGCAAAACTGACGTCCTTAGACTTTCAAGTGATGCCCCATCCACCCTATTCTCCTGACCTGGCTCCTTCTGACTATTATCTGTTCCCCAAACTCAAAAAACACCTAAAGGGACAACGATTTGAGAGTGTCCTGGAGGCAACTAATGCTGCAAATGAGTGGTTACACCAGCAGTCGGAAGAATTTTATTTGGAGGGACTTAAGAAGCTGCAGGACAGATGTCGCAAGTGCATTGACTTTGTGGGGGAATATTTAGAATAGTGTGGCAGCTACAGCTTCCTACGTAGCTCAATTTTTTCTGGGAAAGGCTCAATACTTATCAGCACCCCCTCATATTAAGACAACATGGTGACCTATCAAGTAAGCCTGCTAATTTTTGAGCAGCCAACTAATATTGTTAAGCAGATGAAACTCCTCTCCATTTCTACATGGCCCAGTAACTGAATTACCTGGAGTAAGTCAGTGAGCAGACTCCTCACATCATTTCGAGTAACACAAAGGCTGTGTTTGGAACCTTTGCCTGTGCAGGTTGCGTAAAGCTGAAAGAAAGCTGCCAACACCAGAGGAAACAGTCAGAATCTCCATAGACTTGAGGGAATTTTTTTTTCTAACTTATGTTCTTGAAGTCAGTAGTTTGAAACTCTAATACACTGCATATGCCACAGTAATTGAAATTCATATCTTCTGTAACAGAATCTATTTGGTTTAGGTTTGGAAGACCTGAGTTTAAATTTCCTACCTGAATTTGGGCTAGTCATTCGCAGCCCAGGCTATATTACATGGATGCAAGGACAATGAACTGGATTAATTCCCTTGCATACATTGTTGAGCTCTTTGGAGGTAACGTATAAATATGAGTAAAGCATAATTCATTCATTCCTTATCACATGTATACCTTCCTCAGAAGAACTCGGGGGGGGGGCTGGCCTGGAACAACATGACGATAGGCTGAGTTCCCTAGAGTTCCTGCACTGTGTGAAATAGTGAGGCTTAGAAAGGATGTTCCTGTGACATATGGATAAATACATTCTTAGTATTTATGAAGTATAGTATCCTGGGGAGTAGGGGTGAAGCAGGAGTGAATTAAAATGAAGTGGAACGCCTGCAGCAGTGGTCAGAAGAAGGGCAGGGGTGACGAAGTGAAAGATGAGGGAAGAAGAGGAGAGGAATCATCCCCCTTGACTGCTGGCTGTGAGGCTAAAAGAGTAACACCCAGCTGGTTGCAGAGAGCTGATTAAGTAGAATGGAAAGCAATAATTCATCTTTAAAGTCTCCTACTGTGACTGGAAAACTGAAAGAGTCACATACTGAAAAAACCGACTGATGCTTAGATGAACTAATAACATAAGAACATAGGAAGAGCCCTGCTGGATCAGGCCAAGGGCCCATCCAGTCCAGCTTCCTGTATCTCACAGTGGCCCCACCAGATGCCTCAGGGAGCACATGAGACAACTACCATATTTTTCCGTGTAGACGACCTCCCAATGTATAAGACGATCCCCAATGTTCACCATTACCAGAGGTAGAAGAGCACTCAATGGGCAGCTGTGAGGGGCGGCCCAACACAGCTGCTCCTCCGCCTCCTGCTGCTGCTGCTGCCACTGTCGCCCAATTGCCTCCTCCAGCGCAATGCCCAAAGGAAGCCTGCAAGTGGCCACCGCCGCCAAATCACCTCCTCCAGCACCACTCACAGGCTCCCTTCAGGCAGGGGACAATGTGGTGACGTGAGCCCCAGCACTGGTGCTGGAGGAGGCAATTGGGCGGTGGCAGCAGTCAATGGGAAGCCGCGAGGGGCAGTCCAGTGTGGCTACTCCTCCGTATCCTGCTGCTGCTGCCGCCACCACCCAATCACCACCTCCAGTGGAGGAGGTGCTCTGGAAGTGGTGGCAGCAGTCAATGGGCAGCTGTGTGAGACAGCCAAGTGCGGCTCCTCCTTTGCCTCCACCTCCTTCCATGTAAAAAAACTGTCTCAATTTTTCCTCTAATGATTTTAGGGAAAGTGCCATTTTATACACGAAAAAATACAGTAGATGCCTGTCTCCTGATACCACTCCCTTGCATCTGGCATTTTGAGGTAACTTCCTTTTAAGCCTTGAGATTAAACATCCCTATCATAGCTTGTAACCTGCAATGGACTTTTCCTCCAGAAATCTGTCCAATCCCCCTTTTAAAGGCATCTAGGCCAGATGCCCTCACCATGTCCTGTGGCAAGGAGTTCCACAGACTAACAACATGCTCAGTAAAGAAATATTTTCTTTTGTCTGTTCTCACTCTCCTAACACTCCATTGGAATGGATGTCCCCTGGTTCTGGTATTACATGAGAGGGAAAAGAGCTTCCCTCTGTCCACTTTATCCATCCCCTGCATAATTCTATACCTCTCAATCATGTCCCACCTCAGGTGGCTTTTCTCTAGACTAAAGAGCCCCATACGCTGTACCCTTTCCTCATAAGGGAGGTGCCCGAGCCCAGTCATCATTTTAGTTCCTCTCTTCTGCACCTTTTCCAATTCCACTATGTATTTTTTGAGGTGTGGCAACCAGAACTGTACGCAATACTCTACCAGCGTTTTGTACAATGGCATTATCATGTTGGCTGTTTTATTTTCAATCCCCTTTTTAATGATATCTAGTGTGGAATTGGCCTTCTTCACTGCCGCAGACTGGATTGATGCTTTTATCGAGCTGTCCAGCAGCACACCAAGATCTTTCCTGATCTGTCATGGACAGCTTTGAACCCATTAGCCGATAAATAAAGGTGCAGCTTTGAACCCATTAGCCGATAAATAAAGTGTTGGGGTTTTTTGCCCCAATGTGCATTGCTTTACATTTCTTATACAGTACTGAAATGCATTTTCCATTTTGCCACCCATTCTCCCAGTTTGGAGAGATCCTTCTGGAGCTCTTCACAATCCCTTCTGGTCTTCAGCACCCGGAAGTTTTGTGTCATCTGCAAACTTGGCCACCTCACTGCTTATCCCTGTCTCCAGGTCATTTATGAACTGGTTGAAAAGCACCAGTCCCCGGAAATATCCCTGAGGCACACCACTTTTCACCTCTCTCCATTGTGAAAATTGCCCATTGACACCTACTCTCTGTTTCCTGGTTCTTAATCAATTCTCAATCCATAAGAGGACCTGCCCCTCTTATCCCCTGACTGTGGAGTTTTCTCAGCAGCTTTTGGTGAGGCACCATGTCAAATGCCTTCTGAAAACTGCCTGTAATGTTTGATTGCTGCCTGTTTCCTAAGCCCAGAATATCACCCGTAAATAAATAAATGCCTTCTGAAAACTGCCCGTAATGTTTGATTGCTGCCTATTTCCTAAGCCCAGAATATCACCTGGTGTTTGAAAAATGTGAATAAATAGAAGAAAAATAAATAGATTAACAAGCCAAATCAAAAGTGAAACTAGAGAAGCTTTGACATGTGCAGCAAGGCTTTGTAATGCTTTGCTATGCAGGACTGATAAATTGCTATTGAGGTCCCTCTGCTGGTGACTTGTACAATTTCATCCTTCCCCCCAATATGTTTTCTTGATTAAAATATTTTGCTGGGGACCCTTCTAAAATAATTGGGATTGTCTATAAGATTGGATTAAAGAAAGATATTAATGAGACAAGGAAGACTAAAACAAAAGGAAAGCAGAGTTGCAGTTAAAAATAAAAGATAAAGTAGAGTTGTTGGAAAAGAGAAGACTCTGAATCAAGATCGGCATCCAGATCTAGATCTAATCTTTCCAGACCCTCTAATCATGCCTTAAAGAGGTTGTCAGAAGCTTCACTTGAAACAACTATGTCACAGAAATCACAAAAATTTCAAGAGGAGGGCTCTAGGGCTGACTCAGAACCTACGGATAGAAAGAAAATGTTGGAAGCCATAGAAAAAGTTAATGAAAATGGTTTAGCTTTAGATTTTTTTAAAAAAAGAAGCAAAACTGAATGTGTAGTTTCAGCATCTTGATAAGAAAGTTATTAAAATGCAAGAGGATTACAAGAATTTAAGTAAAAAACTAAAGTAAAACATATTGATGAACAGATTATGGGAGTAAAAGCATTGGTGGAACAGAACGTCTTCTGATTTATGGATCAAGAAAGAGACATTTAGGATTTACCCAGCTGATTATGCAGCAGGATTTTTCATGAAGATCAAATATACGAATTAAAGGATTATCTGAAAACACCCAAAGAGAAAAGAATTATCAAAATTAATACTGGATTGGCTAAATAGGATATATCATGAAATGCAATGGATTTTATATGACCTTGAATGGGTGCGTAGAGTTTCAAAGAAGATCAGAGGTCAACCTTGCCACCTACTCCTCAGATTTGCAAACTACGGGGGGGAGGGTCTTATGAAGGTGCTAGGAGAGAAATTAGAGAATCTCAAAATTGATAGTGATATTATTGTTTTCCATTACTACTGTAATGAAATAATGGCATACAGAAGAAAAATGCAATTTATCAAAGCTATTTTAATTGCAAAGGCCATCAAGTATATTGGGTCACCCAGTTCATATGAAAATATATCATAATGGGAAACATTACGATGCTACTTTAGTAAAATCAGCTTTAGATGTTTTGATGAATGCTGGGCTCATAACTAAAGAAGAAATAAGCAAGCTGGTTAGCCAGGAGCAGAAACAAGAGCAACAGACGGAGGAAGAGAAGACAACTGCAAAGGAAAAATAGGTGGTTGGGGTGAAAACATGGAGCAGAGGAAAAGCTATATAGAAGACAAAATAAAACATATAATTAAATGGGGAGTTCTGGGAAGGACTACAACAATGTTTACTAAGAGGATATCCAGATAAAAGTAATAAAAGAGAGCAGATGGGAGGGATCCAGAGAGTAAAGGGGAGAACTAGCATGGGAAAAATTATAAAATTTTGTGAGGGTAAATACAGGGGTAACAAAATATAGAAACTTTGGTGTTAATGGTAGACAATATTCTGTTAAGGTTTGTTTAATATTATTTAGAAACTTCAGTGTCAAGGCTTGATTATATAATTTTAATAAATACAATGGAAAAGGGAACTGGACTTAAAATGTTAATAACAAAACATATTAGAGTTAGGTAGAATTTGCATAAATTTTAGAGCAGGTATGAAGGGAAAAGGATTAGAATTTAAAACAGATTGAGACAGGACAAGGCAAGGGGAGGGAGCTCAGCCAATGGACCAGACCAGGCTTCCCTCCCTCCCCTGAGGCCATGAGGTCAGTGGAATTTAATTGAGAAGAAGGGGGTCAAAGGTAAATAATTGTAGGTAGGGATAGTGAAAGGGATGACCAGGCTTCCCTCCCTCCCCTGAGGCCAAGAGGTCAGTGGAATTTAATTGAAAAGAAGGGGGTCAAAGGTAAATAATTATAGGTAGGGGTAGTGAAAGGGATGGAACTTTAGGTGTAATAATGTTAGGGTTTTTATGTCATTTATAGGGAGAGTCAGGATGCACACAAGAAATTTGGGGCTACAAAGAAGTATGAGTAATGGTTAAACAGATAAAATTAATTACTTGAATTGTTAAAGGGCTAGGAATGAATGTAAAGAGGGCAAAGATACAAAATGTGTTGAATAAGAGTAATGCGGACATAGTGCTTTACAAGAAACACACAAGAAAAAAGACAGTCTAAATTAATTGAAATGAAATTGGTGTGAAATCGGTTTTTCGAAGTCAAGAGGACTAACAATTTTATTTTCCAAATAGAGATTGAAAAGTGGGAAAAGACACACAACAAAGATACTTAATAATACAAGATCAATTAAGAGGAGAATATTGTACCTTAATAAACATATATGCACCCAATGAGAAACAGGAGGAATTCTTTGTAAATATATTAAGTAGACTGGATAAATTAAGGAAATAATTTGTTATATTAAAAGAATTAAAAGGAGATGAAAGAAGACACTCATATTATTCATCGGTGCACAAAACCTAGATTATATATTAATATTCAAAGAATTTTTATCAAGAGTAAATAATACAAGTATTTATGTTATTCAAACCTTAAATGATGCCAAGGTAAACATGGAATTGTTGGTAAACAAAATTTAAAAAGCATATAGACGGAAGATAGACACAAACATTTCTTAATATATAAATGTTACTGAAGGGTTCAAAAGAACCTAGAAGAAACTTGAGAAGTAAATATGAAACGAGGTGGAAAGGCTAAAATAATATGGGATGCCATGAAGTCTGTGGCCACAGGTTATTCCATCAAAGCAGCAGATACAATTAAGAACTGAAAAGAACTCAGGAGTTAGAAGATAATATTAAAAAGTTAGAAAAATAAATTAAAATAACTAGAGAAAAGAAGACAATGGTGGAACTACAAGCTAAAAGGAAGGAACTAGAAAAAATTCATATGGAAAAGGTCCAGAGGGATTTAATATATTTAGAAAGGGAATATTCCGAATGCATTAATAAAAACTCAAAGCTTTTGTCTAAAGCATTCCAGTGGGGGAAAGAAAGTAAGAGCAATATAAGAGTTATGAAAAATCAGAATGGGGATAGATTATTTATTTAT